AATCCGTTGTGTTAATGATTCAGTGGAGTGATGTGTTGTAATGTTGGAACGCTGGATCATCGCGTAACTGAATCATTGTATTCTAAAATTAATGTAATACGGTTTAAAAACTATTTATTTTGGTTATAACTACATTCAAGTAAAAATACCTAAAATATGTTTAAAAGATATACATGAATGTATAATGTACCTATTGTTATTTATTGGACTTGGGCTTGTAAACATGAACTATTGTATGTAGCGTGTAAAATAATTTAGATAATAATATTAATGTAAAAGGTCAAAGTACCAAACTATATTTATAATATAACCCCAATATTTAATCTATGAAATTTCTACAATAAGATACTTATTCAAAAACGGTACTTTTATTCTACACAAAAGGTAGTTGACTAACAATAAACATAAGGTCTTAAAAAACGTAACTAAAAAAATAAAAAAAATTAAAACATTAAATTAAACGAAACTTACGACCTATGTGAACAATATTGTTAGCTAATCTGGATTCAATATAAACCGATTTAAGAAATTAAATAAAATATTTAAAGGGAGCAGGATGTTGCAAAGTTAGAGTAATTGATCTGACGCAATCAAATAATTGAAAACGTCTCAGAAAACTGTTGTGCATCATATTTTTTACGCAAACTAAGCAATATATGAGATCAACAAATCTCATAAATAATTTTATTTCATTTCCAGAAACCAAATTAATCGACAGGAAATATTGTTTTAACATAGATATGTTTTTTWGATCGGATATGTAGTGTTAATTATAATTTTCGAGAATGGTCTGAACATGGGTTTAAAAGGTTACCTCTTGATTTTTCGGTTCGAAACGTAAATGGTTAAGCATTTTAAAAGTGAAGGTTTCTCTAATGTCCTAACGCTTAATATTATAGAAGTACGATTGAATTTGTGATAGATTCATCACAAAATTGTCGTCGTTTATAATTTTATTTACCTTTTTGAATATTTGAGTAATGAGTAGTATTCACGTCGTGATGCATTTTTGGCTTTAAATCTCCAGATKAAACTGTGACTAAGAAGGGAGAAGAAACTATCGTAATTAAACGAAGTGATAGAATGTCTGCTGCAGTGTGGACAGTATACTRCAGATGCTATGATTTTAATAGTTTTATGATTTTAATTTTAAAAATACTTTTATTGCAGATGATTATAAAAAGTTTCCATTAAATTGGTTACATAAATAAAATTGTTTAACTGTGTAAAAGAATATTTAATTATAATAGACACTYCACTGTGGGAAAWKTTATCTRGATGATTTTGTAGTTTGTTTTGTAGCAAATTTAAAAGTTAATTTRACTGATGACATGGTTCTATTTCTATACGGCTATCTCATATATTATGGCCTAGAGATCACGGTTGCACCGAATTGAAGGGTTATAGAGGAACTCTAGGTTATTACGCTGCCTTAAAAAATTAATCGATTGAAATAAATCACGATAAATTCTATTACAATTGTATAAGCTATAAATATTTCTTTGAAACTGAACGTGTATCTTACACACTATTAAGATTATGAATCATAATCGTAACTAGAATTATGTATTGTGTATTTATGTATACATTTAGTTGAATAATTTTTGAACGATATTATTACGAGCAAAATTCATAACATAATTGCTTGTATGCAATCTGCATTGGAGACCGGATAGTAGTTACATATACAATATTTAAAAATAATAAAGGTAAATAAATGTATTTTAATGTTGTGATATCATCGCAATGTATTGTAGAGTTAATTTTAGTAAAATATTATTTATTCAAAACAAATATTGGATAATAAATAATAATTCGTTATACTCGTATAACCATGCATAAAAACATGACTGCAAATTGTATTGTTTTACTAGATGATAATGATAATTGATAAGACGTACAAAGTTCATAAATTTGCTGGTATACGAATAAACAATATTTTAGGTTTATTATTATTATTTTTTTTTTAAATGCCTATATTAAACGTTATAAACTTATAACATAAAGTATACATATTATGACGTTCAAATAATCGGTTAATAAATATAACCGACTCAGTCTATTTTTGTGTATATATATATATTATATTGTCCATGTTTCCAACATACCCAAAGACTACAAGTTAAGTCTTTTGAAATTGGATATTTTGTTAAGAAAGTAAAGAAGTAAAGATTATTTAACTCACTACGTACTACATAGAGTTATTTTTAAAACAGTTAAGCAAATATTAATTTTAAAATATTGACTTAAATTATTTTAAGTGCCCGTATATGAATAAATTAATTTGACTTAATTTTTATGGTGGGATGTTTTAAAAATAAATATAGGTAGTATTTTATTCAATGTTATATCTTGAGGTAGTCTACTAAAGCGGATTAATTCCCCCCTTCCCCATAAGAAAAAAAATTCTTATTTTTTTTATTAGTTAAAATAGAATATTTACWATCTGTAATATTTGTACACACAATAAGTRAATTTGATAAATAATAAATAACATAACGCGAGTGACGTGAGGAGGGAAGCCCATCATTGTGGATACTCCCTAAATAAATTTCTGCAGACAACTATTTGTTTTTCACAGTGAATTAAAAATAAACTTTTTTCTGTCATTAAAATATATTAAAGCCTCTCTCGAAAAAAATCCTGGCTATAGCGTTGGATTGATTGAATCAATTGAATCCTAATCTACTATTGTAATAGTAGAAAAATATTGGTTGCAACTTAGGTAYTAACAAAACATTCACTTACAGCAATGTTATTACGGGTATTTACTATTTACTATTTAGATATTTAGTAGGTGATGGAGTAGGTTATGAATACAAAGTAAATTTTAAGTAGGCGCGTTTTGCGTGATGTCGTTTCATTAGGATAATTCAATTTTATTAAAACAAATAACAAATCTTGCACAATAGTTCAATTTTTACGTTGTAGTACACGATATAAAGTAGGTGCCTGACCARACAGAAATAAATATCAACAACTCTACATAATATTTATTTCCAGCTAATAACGATGATTGACAGCTATATTAAAATTAGTTGTACCTAACACTTGAAAAAAAGATAGATGATATTTTAGATTTTTTTAGGGGTTATATTCGATAATATTATATTCTTCATAGGCGAAACTACGGGTTAGGCGCAGGCCACTAATGCCATGGCCTGATCTAATACTAACTGGATAATATACCAACATAATAAAATTTAAAATTTAAATAAACTTGTTTTATAATTAGAATGTTTTTTTCATATTTTTCATTTGGCCTGTCCTAATACAATTTTTTAGTTTCACCAATGATATTCTTATAGTTCATAAAAATGTTAAGCTCCTGCTTAACATTATATATTGTTTGCATTATAATCGTTAACTCTATATTATAGGTACCGAGGTATCGATATTACTCTAGACTAGGTGTCGTGTGTGCCTTGTCATACAGTAGGTAAGTCTAATGAGGATGYGTCAAATTCAAAATTGTGTTCAAATTATAAATCTTTGTTTTTATAAAACGATTCAGTTTAGAAACAACCAGATTAAATTTCTAAAGATATTTTATGACCTAGGTATACTAAAGAGAGTAAAATATTTATAAATATTTCTATTCTTTGAATTAATTTTCATCTAACTACACGTTTTTTAAACAATAATAGTAGGTAGGTACTTACATAACAGTTACCTAACATGCATAATATAAATTACTACAATTTTTTGAGTACACTACGTTAGCACACTACGTTAGCACATTGCATAACATATTATCTCTTATAAAATAACAACATTCTATTTCATTATACGACATTTGTTTATGATATCATTAATTATCTACTGAAATTCTAGCCATGTGACCTGTGACATGTGAGTGCATTTTACGGTATATGATTAAATTCATAACATATAAGTGCTTTTTTTTTAGGTCTTCCCTCAGACCTATAAGTTGCACAGAATATCCTAAATAAAATGTATAAATAATTTATTATTAATGGATAAATGTCATAAATCATAATGATACACTGTTTATGTTACATRATAATATTTCTTTAAGGATTACAAAAATTATACATTWAATTTTTWATTTTTGTTTTTGTTTTTAGTTTTGATTGCAATGGGTTTGGTAGAATTCGGTAGTATTCCACACTTGCAAAGTATTGGATTTTTTTGCGGGGATCCCAAAATAAGCTATAAATTCAAAGGTGACACGGTGGAGTCCCACGTTCTTGTACTGGTTACGCTCATAATTCCATACTTGATCGTAAGTCGAAATAAATTAACATTTATATGCATAGAGACATAGAGTGAAGTCGCAAAACACACATCATATTATAGGCATATTCAAAATAAATAATAATATGATATACTATTGAGATTCATAAATACGATGAAATATGCACACAGGCGTTGACGACCGAATACTTCACGAAACAAAAAAACAAATTTGATTCCGAACGGTATGAATGGCTTAAAGAATCGTTGCGGTGGTATCGGCAGTATATCTTAGGACTGATATTCGTGTTTTTTATAACAGACGTTGGTAAACTTCTGATTGGTGAGCCAAGGCCACATTTTTTAGATACTTGCCTTCCTAAAGAAGCCAAAAACTGCACTAATAGGTAATTATCTAACTATGATTATAAATTATAATACACTATCGCTATTAACCGAATTAATATTATAACATATAATATATACGTATATCAAACATTTTATCGGATCAAATAAATCTAACTAATAGGTACTTAACGATTATTTTATTTCGATTTATTAAAACAACGTTATTTACATAATGTTCATTTAGATACATTGATCGTTATACGTGTATGAACGAAAATGAAAGCACATATATCATAAGAGATGCTAGCAAATCATTTCCATCGGGCCATGCTTCCATTTCAGTTTACGGATCAATATCTATGGCCGTAAGTATGAAATTTAACATTTTTCTTTATCTAACAACTTATAATTTACAGGTCTTGGATTGTTTTTATAATTTAGTATAGTTTTAAAATTTTTTCGCTACTCATAAAACGTTAAAATTAGGCGAATGCRTAGTATTTTAATAGAGATCTTCTCAGACGTGATGAGTAATATAGGGGTGAGTTTTATCACTCACTAATGAGAGGGGGTTTAATTGAGGCTCAGAATTTATGTAATTGTATTTTAAATCTATATACAAATTTAATTAACATAATATGTTTTTACTAATATTTTAACTTTTTTTTTTATGTATTTGTTTCACAATAACAACATAGGTAACGTATTTTAAATAGTTATATTGGTATTGATTTTCATCTGTAACCATTAATAAGAGTAATTATATAAAAGTAATAACAAAAATGAACTGTTTATTTAAAAATAATATCTTTATTACGTCATTAATTCCAAATTTCTTTTTTTTTTAACTTTTGAAAATCGTCCAATGATATTATTATCCGTTGAGACAATATTCTTCAATGAAGATATTTTATGATAATTATTGATAAGTGTATCATAATACTTGACTTAAAAAAAAAATAAATAGCTTAGTCCCAAGYTGCCCCCATAGCTCCTCCGTTAAACCCACCACTGATGAGTGTCAGAATGTGAACTAATTGGTTTTGTCACATAACGCCATAGTATTTTTTGACGGACATCTAAGGAAAACCAAATGTTGTTTTGGTGTTTCTTGTAATTTTATAAGTTACTAGGGTTAACGAGTACCCTCAAAACTTGAAATTCAAACACGGTGTGTAGGTACAAATATTTGTATAAATATTAATTTTAGTTTATATAAATAATTGGCTTATATAGGGTACAAACACTACAAACCATGAGGGGTCCAGATATGGTACCTACTCATGGCATTAACTAATCAAAATTGTGCAATTTTAAATTGTAAATGTAATTTATACTTAAAAATGTGGACAACTGGGTAGGTAGTGCTCTACAGTSTACAGTGTGGCGTAATTGTCGAGTGGGTCACTGTAATGGATGTGTTAAATTTTAACTCAATGATATAGGTATCATTGAATATAGTATAAACCTCTAAATATTCTATCTATATACTATATACAGAGTGGAAACGTTTTACATTCTGCATAAGATACAATATTCATTTCATTGATCACACAAATCAATGTACACAATACTCAAGACCACTAAAAATATCGATTACGTATTTTATAATTTAGAATGACGTGAAACAAGTTAGTGGTATCTATGAATTAGTTGAAAAACTTTTTAACTCAAGATTAGTCCTAATATTTTAAAAATTTCACTGTAGATATTTATCATTATTTAATGATGACAAAAATKTCAAGTACTAATGCAAAGTTAATCATGTAAGTACTAAGTAGATAGTTTATACTGAAACCAAAAAATCAAAGAAGCATAATTTTTTTTAGACACATAAAGTTTACATTAGGAAAAAATTAGATATTCAAACGAAGAATACGGGTTTAGTTATTTTTTCGTAGTTCAAAAATATTATTCGTGGTGACTTGACACTTACGTATCGTTCTGGGTATGCAATTATTTGCATGCACATGCAGTGACGTTATAAAACAATTTAGATTATCTATTCGTATGATTTGCCAAACCTAGTATAACCACGAACCACTCAGTTGTACGGTAAATGACAAATAGTAAATTGGTATTGACTCAAAATTTAAAAATATTAACTTTTATAATAAAATAATTATTATAATATGTAARTACCTAATGTTTCAGCAAAAATTAATTTAATCTATCGAACCTGCTATAGTGCTATTACTAATAGTAAAATAAATTACAATAATAGTAATACATTAATCTCAAATATTATATAGAGTTCTAAGAGTTCTTAGTAAAATAAGCATACAGATCCGTCTTCGCTCAGATTGTTTTTCGTATCTTATGATTGAAAATATTTTATTCAAAAGTTAACATTTACATTACAGTGGCTTATTCGATGACAGGGTACACTTAACAGTTAACACCTATTATAAAAAACTGTACAGCAGAGCGTTAACCTATTTTTTTTTACACTTGGTTATGATTCATTTTTTACACATTTTGTTTGTTTAGTAGATATATGTGCACACACACACATATACATGTCATATATTTAGGTTCTGTATAGTTTATTTGAATAGACATGTCATTCTTTATCATGTAAATTTATACAAATAAAATAATAAGTGTTGTCTCTGTCTAACAAACGTATAACACGGCAAAATTGCGTTCATCGGAATTCAAAAGAACCGTGGTGTTATTAGTTTCAATATTAACTAGAGATCAAWAAAATCAATTACTTAAAGTCAATTGATCTATCACAAAAATAAAAAGGAAAAATATTATCTGTCCATATATAATGTCGGGTTTTTATTATATTTCAATTTTTGAGCAAGTTTTGATTAATTAAAGTATTGTTATTTGAAATACTCATAACAGTCATAACTCATTCAAAAAATAATTARTTACTTTAAATTATTGTAAAAAAAAATTCGTTCAAACATGCAGACAATGTCCTCGTCTTAAAGTTTGATTAACGATAATGTTATCACATATGTCAGATAGGAACTTGAAATGCTAAAATCTCTCCAATATTAATGCTAATAAATAAAATCCCAAGATTGGTTCTGCTAAAACGCTGAACACAAATTTACTATGATGAACGTTTGTAATACCGAAAATACGTATGAGAGTGTGACCTATACAGATGTTTTTGTCTAAAGGTACCTTGAGCCTACGCCTTGTCTTCAGTTTATTCGTATTCGCTAAATAATGTTTAAATTGTTTTATTGTTCTAAGTTTTTTAACTATGTCTGTACAATATATTTTATAAAGTTGTTGCTTTTACAGTGGTATTTGCATAACAAATGCAAATCGCGTTCGTTGCTGTTAATGCCAGTCTTACAAGCGATGTGCATGCTCTGGGCAATGTTCTGTTCTCTGACTAGGATCACAGATCACAGACATCATTGGTGGGATGTATTGGCCGGTTCGATAATTGGAATCGTGATCTMCACTTACATTGTGAGTGTGAAAATATTTTAGTTGGAACATAGATGATGCCTGCCTAACTACTTGGTTTAAAATTTTAATTTTAATAATGATATATTTTCAATAATCGTGTATATTTGAAATGCGGTCAGCTAAGACCTATGCTATAAAAGCAACGAAATAATAATACAATTATAATTGGGTCAATAACATTTTACAATAGGTACACGTCTATATGTRTAAGAACCTATTGACATTACCTGCAAATAAAAGMAGTTAACCTTTAAAAGTTTAAACGCTCCCCTTGAAAATATAGAAAACTAATAATATACACTTTTTATATCTGAATATAATATTAGAATATGATATACATTCTATCTGGAAAATATTTATTTCATATTTTATTGATTTTATTTTTCGTGTGTTCACCAGAACGGATTGTTTGATAGACGAAAGAACGATAACAAATCGCATTCGACCACTGAAACCTGGTCCAACGAAACGACAGATAACGGGTATTTCACTGCAGGAAGACTCTTAAACGTCGTCGCCGATGGTAAAAATCCATCTCTAAATTTGTAATTTTCACCAAAATGCGACCATACAAATAAAATACTCACTTTATATTTTTACACTGTACAGCATTAATTTTATTGAAACGAAAAAATATTTGTTAATTTTTAAACATCAGTATTCTCGCTATATAACTGTGCATATATATATACTTATATATGATATATTAAAATACATATATTAGAATATTACTATGTAAATTACCTAGGTAGGTACCTAAATTACTTCATTAGATTTAGCAATACGTGACAAATAATTGGGACTTAGATTAGATGTATATAGTTTGCGCGTTTGGTCCCATTATTATACAATATTTATAACTTTCCTATTTAATAAAGTACCTGTAGTTGTTTTAAATTTTAAATTATTTTTTAATGTTTGTTGTCTTGTACATATCACTATTATAATAATATAGTTTTTAATTATTATTATTATTTTTTTTTTTTTCATTAAAACATAAAGCTTGTATTATAATATGCATAATACATACATAATTAATAATATAATAATATATTAGATTATATTATGTATTGTATATTAATTTAAAGTTTAAAAGTGTTCAATTAATAAAATTGAACCTATATTTGTATAATAATTAGGCGCACTTTTAATACCCGTCGTTTACTATCGTTCAACATTTATCCGACATATTTATATTTATATTTACACAATGTTAATATTTTTATACGAAATAATTAATTGTACCCAACTATTATACTAAATATAGTAGTCAGTGGATTATTTCTCTTCACCTACAAAGTTAAAAATTACTATATACCTAAACGTGGTTGAATTTGAATAGGTATATTATCCCGCATATTATACTTATTCTATAGRCTATAATAATACATGAATGTTATTAATTTTTTTTTAATCTCAGTGTTATGTTTGAAAAATAAAAGTTCCTTTGTAAACTGCGTGTTGTATACCTGCATGTTCCTATACGGCCGCTGTACGATTTGATAATGAACACAGATCATCGACAAAGAAAGACATTTAATTCTATATTCACTCATTAAAAGGCGAACAATGTGTTTCTTTCAATAGCCTCAGTTCTGGGTTGTATAGTCACAAACGAGTATAACTTAATGAGAMGAAAACATAATGTAATTATTAAAATGATGCATTTTTAACTAAATAATGSGTTTTAAACGCGTACAATTATTTTGTTTTTCATAAAGTATAATATATGTTGCGAGTGGTATGATGATACGGAACACAACATTTTTTTACGTTAATTGGCCATTATTTTTTATGCGTTCTTTTGAATTTATCATACTCGATGATAAATGGTTCGCAATAACTAATTATCAATGTGTGCAAAAATAGAATTCGCTAAACTTACATACTAATATTGAATCAGCAATTGGATGACTATACTATGAATAAAAACAATTTTATAAAATCAATTAATGGACATTTAAAATGTTGTACGCACAATATGTCAGTAGTTCGTTGCTGGAAATCATTTTAGACGGGATTTTTTTTATGATCTACCTATACTATATAGACTATAGATGAGTGTATAACGAATAGATCTGATATAGTTACACCTGTATATATATTTAACTATGTCATCACTCACTAGATGTTCATGTTTGACTTTGACCTCTGTGGCATGTATGAATCAAACATAGATACATATATATTATATACTTTTTTATTTATCATATTAAAAATATATTATCAGTATTATATTAATGCTCTGACAAGATTTATAAAAAAAACATACATACATAAATAGATTGATATAGTTAGGTACMAACAAGGTGTTTAGGTGTACCTATTTATAACACACTGCATGTACTATTATTACTGATTATTTCGGTAAAGCATGATTGAGTATAATATACCTTTTTAACAAAACGTTTAATTTATTATTTTAACGTATTATTACCAAAGTCGAACKAGCAGTGAGCCTAGCCCAACTTTGTTGACAACGTTATCGATTAATAAATTAGTTCCCAAACAATAAATATTATTTTTATCCGTATRTAATTCAATAACCGTTACAGATGCAATATTTTTAACATTTAGCATTAGGGAAGAAAATTTAATGTTATTAAAATAGGTAACAATTCCAAAATTACTATTGAATTAATTYAATTTATTATGTAGTTTTTGAGCACGTTAAAAAAGTTTATGTTTTCTTTTTTTTTAATATGGTTTTTAATAACATAACATTATTTTTATCGGAAACTTTTAGCTTGAACCATATTTTRAATTATTTGAATTGTTTGAATAAATATTTTTTGTATAAGGTCGGTCAAAATTTGAAAATGGCAACATCGCAAAGTTTTTTATGTGTAATCGTGTAGGTTTTCTTTTGTACTTCTATATATCCTTTGATACACACCGACAAATTTACTCAATCGTGTCATAAAAAAGGTGTTTTATGCTCAATCGTGTTGTACCGGTTACTTAATTATATTACAGTAGGCAAATATAATAG